ATATATATATATATATATATATTTATTTATTTATTTATTTATTTTAGTGCAAGTAATAAAAATTAAATCTAAATCCTTTTGCATTTATTTTAATTATCTATGTGAATAACAAGTCTCACTTTAAAAATATATTTTATATGTTTGACTTAAACCTAAATCAACATTCTTATGATAATATTAAAATTTGTCATAATAATTGTTATTAAATTTATTACTCTAATTAAACCACCACTAGATGTCAAATCTTGTAAACTTTGATTTGTATTTGGATGTGTTTGAGAAAGTTGTGAAAATTATATTATTTCAACAATTGATTATTATTATAATCAATTATACTCCAAATAAATTTTTGTTTAGGTAAATTTATTGAAAAATAATTTTGAAATATTTGATTTTATGTGGATACAACAAAAAAATCAAATTTTATGCGGTGAATTAGCTTGGAAAAAAAAAATGTTCAAAATAATCATAAACTTCAAATTTTCAGATTCATCAAAACAATTTATTTTTTTTTTAGAAAAAAATTGTTTGCAAATTTAAGTTTGCCTTAAACAACCAACTTATTTTTTTTACAAATAACAAGTAACTTATTTTACAAAATTTATTTTATTCTCATTAAAATTGCTGAAATGGTGAGAAAAATCTTTCCCAAACAGACGAAGCACATACACACACACACGAAGTCTTAAATGGGTCAGATGGGTTCATATATCCACCTGTACTAGTATGAAACACATACTCTCATCGTATTGCTCTCTTCACATCTGTTTCAAACTTCAAATTCGATCCTCTTTGTCATTGCTCTATCATACTTTCCCACCAAATTATATCTCAAACTTTATTCACAACATTTTAAAATAAAAATAATTCTTATATATTAAATGTGAATGACTTTTGTAGAATAACATTTTTAAAGATTATCCTGTGATGGAGTCTTAGAAAAATTTTTAACTTGTCAAATTCAATTTTTAATCCCTTACTGCAATATAAATTATTTATCTTAAATAGAAAATATATTTATATATTTTAAAATATTTTAAATATAATTTATAAATTTAAATGTAGTATTTATTTAAATATATAATTTTTTTTATAAAATTTAGTTATATATAATAAAAATTTAGCCTATCAATATATAGACTAAAATACCGGTAACGATATAAACCCCTTTTTAAAAAGCTTTTTCATAATAGATTTAACCAAATAGGAAAAAACAGATTTTATGTAACAAGAAACGTATTTAAACCAAAATCAATTTCATAACACTGGTTCCAATCCAAGAGAAGGCTTTAGTTGAATGGATGTATGTTGAACATTAGAGACACGATCACGTTGAGATTTTCCACAAAGGAGTGACGATGAAGATATATATATATATATATATATATATTTATGCAATTAATTTTGTGTAATTTGAATTATTTTAGGATTAGTGAGTGC